GATTCTGGCTTCTCCTTTAAGAGAAGTGGCAAAAATCGAGAGAGCACATAGGGAACAGGGACGCCCTCTCTAGCCATCTTGATAGTGGGCTCAAATAAACTGGCCCAAGGCAGACGTCCATACAATTTATGAGCTCGCTCATAGCCACGGATATCACCTGGGACACCGATCCAGTGAGCACCTATAGATAGAGAGAGAAACTACAGCTATCATGTGTGCTTAAAGTGCTCAGTAAACTCAGGCTACTTCCTGAATAAGGCATAACAAGGTCTGTATTTAAAGAAAGGAATAGTGGATTACATATTTTGCCACAGGGCATTGCACATATTTAAATATAAATATTTAAGTATTTTAATAAAAAAGTTCATCCACTGTTCACTGTCACCTTCCATAGGCTGTGTTGTTGTTGGACACATGGCAAGAAGGTCTGTTTTAAACGCTTTTGGGACAGTCTCTCTGGCATTGATTACTCTCACTTTGCCTAGATAATAGAGATGTGGAGCAACATTAACAATAACATGCATTATAAAATAAAATAATGATTTATTTAATGTATTAAACGTATGATAATCCTCACCACTTTGTTCCCGTATTGTGAATATAGAGCCTCCACCAATGCCCATACTCTGAGGATTTATGATGGACGTGCACAGTAAAGTAGCAATGGCGCCATCTACCGCTGAGCCACCCAACTGCAGTATATCTCTAGGAGGAAAAAAGACTGAAAATGGGCTATGGCTGGGGTTTTCAAACTATCTGATGATGTCAAAGATCTCCAAATATGATCATCTAAGAGCCCCCTCCCTAACATTTAAAAGCAGCTATAGCTATCATGCACATAGAAAATAGGCTGTTTCCAAAACTAAATAACTGTACTGGTATTGTAGTACGTTTTTATTTAAATGCTATCTGGAAAGTATTCACTTTCTGCTAAGTTGACATTTATGTGTATAGTGATTCGCACAATTATTATTCTTTCTAATGGCGCGTTCACACTTGATTCGCCTAATGCTTGGTCCGAGCCAGAGTTCGAATACTCCCCCTGGACCCCTCCCCCAGATGGATTCTGTTGACGCTGTATTTTTCGGCTCAGAACCTCGGTTCTTTTACGGCATCACTTTTAAGTAGCAACTGTTTACCTCTGTTGCTAGATAACGACTCAGGAGAAGACGGCAAAATGACAGCGCTGCTCACATCAGTTTTGTACTTCAGTTTTCAATCCTTTGGTTTTTATTTCTCAAGCTTCATAACAAGTATTGAAAAGGTTCCAAAAACGCGGGGGTTAATTATTACCGGAGGCGAACAGAATTGTAATTTTCACAAGAGAGAGAGAGAGAGCGCGAGAGAGAGAGAATGGGGAGAATACAAAAAGAAAGTAATTTGGAAAATTACCTACAGTAGAATAATAACTGCATGCGGTCTCGTATCAAACCTGCTTTAAGACCCGTCAGAAGTCTCTGCCAGACGCTGGCATAACTAATGTGTTTTTTATGTTTACAAATGATCTATAGGCTATTTAAATAGTCTATCAACATTAGCCTGCTTTCTGGCTACAGACTGTCACCTCTCAAAAATATATATATTGTTTTATCGTTTACTTCTACAGAAACAATTGACTTTTCTTTATAATAACAAGCTTAAATATAAAACAGTGTGAACGTAATCGTATACTTAAGAAATTAGCGATATAGGTCTAAATCATTAGTTGTTGTCCAGGAACGTCTCCTCTAGTGAGAGGAAGGCAGAGACTGTGTCAAGAGGATTAGGCTGTGAAGATACTTCACCTAATTAACTTCAAACTTTCTGTTTACATTTATCCGGACGTTTCAGCTCAGTAGCTGCTCCTGTCCTCAAATGTGCCTGACATACGGATTACGACAACCTAGCTGTCGTTTTCCAGGAAAGCGCGATCTTCCACATCATTTGCATGTTTAAATGAAAGTTTTGGATGCTAGAATTTAAAGTAGCCTACTCACTAAAATATTTAACCTAAACATCCGAAAGCACATAATTGTTTTATTTAAACGAACGCATTCATAGTGTAGCCTACTACATGTAGCCCAAGGCACTACTATCCCTCACTCACTCACTCACTCACTCACCGCCCGATCTTTGAGCAGGTTTCCGAGTCCGTCTAAACATCCGAAAGCACATAATTGTTTTATTTAAACGAACGCATTCATAGTGTAGCCTACTACATGTAGCCCAAGGCACTACTATCCCTCACTCACTCACTCACTCACTCACTCACCGCCCGATCTTTGAGCAGGTTTCCGAGTCCGCTGCCACTGCTGCGTTTTTGTAAAGTCCGTCAGCGCACTCCTCGTTAAAGTGAGTCGCGCAAATAATAATAATTATAATAATACATATAATCGGAATACTTATGCACAAGCAAACTTTCTCTTTTCGTCTGGCCATTGTATCCAAGTGCGGCTTTGCTTTATCGTTGAACTTCTAGAGTGCAGCAGAAGTGCGCTATTAGCCCTCCCCTTTCACAGTGTCAACGCCTAATTAAGCGCATTGTCGAGGTGTAGAGGTGAAGTCTAAATTGGATTGTGTAAAGTGTTTTTGTAAGAGGTGTTTTCGCACCCTTAAATGGTATGTAGGCAAACTTCACTTTCTACAGAGACATTGCCCCTGCAACCGACTGCTGGACCACCATATGTTGTGTCTCAGCTGGATGGGATCACATTACTGCCACACCAAAAGTGAGCTACTTAAACTATTTCTACCTTCATGACTCTTAATAATGTTTTGACTTATAAATTAAATAGTTACGTAACATTTTTGAATGTAGCCAGTTGTTACCACATGGTGCACACTTGTGTAGGCTTCCTGAATATGTTTTTCCCCTATCAAACTGTATGTTAACAAACTAATTGATCAAAATCATCATTCATATTTTGAAATGTCTCTCTTAAGGCTAATTCACACTGCACCGACACAGGTCGACCGACAGCAACAGACACATTTGTCACATTTGTCAGATCAGTGTGTTACCCCTGTTGGCATATCCAGCCGTTGGTCAGCATTTGTTTTGAACATGTTGAGCATGTTTAATCAGCGTTTGTCTGTTCATGAAATGCCTAAAAAGTGGCATACTACTGTCGGCATCTGTTGGTGCTGTGTCTTCAAATAATGTGATACAAGAGCCTGTGCTATATTGTTAATATAGTCACGGCTAAAGAAGGACTGGTTTGGGAAAAAATTGCATGTGTAGTATAATTGGAACATACTATGACTCCTCATCTGTGGCCTCATGGGACAGTAAAGTCCAAAATGTACTTTAGATTTTACGTGTGCATTAGCGTACAGTGCATGTGACACTTCATCACTAGCATATATGCGCTTACCATACACGTGCGGCCCTAATTTTTACTAAAGCCCAAAGTATACTAAAGTTTTCATGTGTAAGCTTAAGAAAAACTTTCTGACCATTATGAAGTATGCATTTGCGCTGAACTGGTTTGGTGAAAAAAATAATGAGCGAAGTACAATCCGAACATATACATTCTCCATGATGGCAATATCATGTGACCTACGATGTCAGTTAATGTTCCCCGCCATTTCCACTCCCATGGCTTCATGGGACAATAAAGCTCAAAGTATACAGGCGTATCTCAATAAATTAGAATGTCGTGGAAAAGTTCATTTATTTCAGTAATTCAACTCAAATTGTGAAACTCATGTATTAAATAAATTCAATGCACACAGACTGAAGTAGTTTAAGTCTTTGGTTCTTTTAATTGTGATGATTTTAGCTCACATTTAACAAAAACCCACCAATTCACTATCTCAACAAATTAGAATATGGTGACATGCCAACCACACTACCAACCAATTAGAAAACAAGGCCAAAAGAGTTTGAAACAATTGTGGCAAATCAGGTATCTATAACCAATAAAAAGTAACCGGAACAAAGAAAAAACAGAAAATGACCAAATTTGGAGAGAACAAGGGGTATAATAACATGAGCTGACGAAACAAAGACTTTGGAATGATTTGGAATGCTGTGACTGTCTTCCCGGCTTTATTTCTTTGTTAAATAAAGTCTTATTTTGACATCTGGAACTCTGCTCCTCCACTTCATTGGCCGCACCCAAGAAAAATCCACAACAGCACCTGTACTTTTATGCGTACACTGATAGTGCATGTGACGTAAATATTGTCATCAGCACAGTTCACATGTACTATACATGTGCAGCCCTGATTTTTCTAAACTAAAAAAATCTACTTCAGTTTTTACATGTAAGATAAAGAAAAACTTTCAGCTGTTAAAAAGTATGCATTTGCGCTGAACTGGTTTGGGGGGTGGAAATCGCATATGTAGTATAATCCAAACATTCTCCATGTTTGCAATGTCATGTCCCCTACCATTTACAAATATGACTTGGCCTCATGGGTCTGTAAAGCCCAAAGTATATGTAGCATTTGGACCAATCAGACACACAACTTTTTGTTATATTTAACAATTAGTTTTGAACGCATATGCTACTGTATGCATATAGTGTACGAGACAAAAACATTGTGTGCAGCATATTGCACGTGTGCAACTTGTATTTCTAAACCGTACTGTGCACGTGACATAAATTTCATCATAAGCGTAGTATGCACGCAGCCATATTTTCTAATCACACAAACTACTGTATGTAAGTTTTACAGTCGAAAACCAAAACAGAGATGGAATAGCAACAAATTAGCCTACCGGAGGCCGCAAAATCATGGGTGCTGCCAGACAGTGACATGGTGAACAGGTGTTTCATTTGAATGTTTTCTAGCAGGGACTGGAACTTTGTATTGGTGTATCTTGATGTTCCAAAGTGAAATCTGTACTACCGTGAAACCTGAGGATGACTGCCATCATATTAGAAAATGTATGGATTCATTACATATTAATGGTTGTATTTATGTGCACAGGAAAGCATATAGTCAAATTTCATCTAATATTAGATAAAGTCTAAAGATAATTAATGCATGCATGAGAAAAAAAGTTTTTATAAAAGTTAATTTCTCTTCAGCAGAATGTTTGGTCTTCCTACAAGAGGCTAAATTATATTATTTACAACCTCTAAGCTGTTAGAAAGCAAAACTATTTATCGATACATTTAACCAGTTAAACCTAAATGTTATTTTTTTAAAGAAACATTGTCTGCTTTTCAAATTGATTTTGTTGGCAAGCTTCTCGTATGAGGGCTTGGAAAAAGGGGAGGTCCATGTATTTATGTGCACAGGAAAGCATATAGTCAAATTTCATCTAATATTAGATAAAGTCTAAAGATAATTAATGCATGCATGAGAAAAAAAGTTTTTATAAAAGTTCATTTCTCTTCAGCAGAATGTTTGGTCTTCCTACAAGAGGCTAAATTATATTATTTACAACCTCTAAGCTGTTAGAAAGCAAAACTGTATTTATCGATACATTTAACCAGTTAAACCTAAATGTTATTTTTTTAAAGAAACATTGTCTGCTTTTCAAATTGATTTTGTTGGCAAGCTTCTCGTATGAGGGCTTGGAAAAAGGGGAGGTCCTTCATGAAATCTAGAAAGATTATCTTTGAAGATTCGCCCACGGACACAAACACACAGCACATCAGGAAGCTGTTCATCTCGCGTGTCACCAGAAGGCAAGTTTCAAATTTGGCACTGTCAGTCATTTTTAGTTTGCGCTGTCACTGTGGTTTTCTTAATAGGTTTAATTAATAGGCTACGTCTGCATAACTGCATTTTGAACAAGTTTCCAAGCTTACAGGTTCAAACAATGTAAAGCAGATTTCTGCACTAATTTGAAATAAATAAAAGCAAGAACTAATCGACGAAGACCATTGGAAATATAACAACGCCACGTTGCAATTTCCAAACGAACCACAGAGCGTTACATTGTTACGATTCCATCTGTTGGGCTAAACGCTAAACGCTCACGAGCGTGACCTCGGAGGAAGTTGTCTGTTTGGCGTACAATGCACCATGGGAATTGTAGGCCGCTGAGGTTTCACTTGTAAACAACTACTAATGCTTTTTATTATAAAATAACACGCACTCTTAGAGTGAAACTGTCGTATATCTTAACTACCTGGCAGAAGTTGAATTTACTTTGCTCTGTTCTTTGTCATATTTCTTCGTGGTTAGTTCGTGTACTGTGGGTTTTTATCTGTTGGGTGAGAAAGGCTACGTGAGCAGCCGTACAGGTAAGTGTGCAGATGGATGTTGAATGAACCTTTAAATGAACAAATCGTTGATTTCTAAGCACTTTTCGGCTTTGAACCATTTGAAACACATGACTGCTTTCTTGCCTCTAGGAACAAGGCATTTAATTGATTGCATCTTTTGCGAATTTCAGTTCCTTTTCACCTTTGAGTAACGTTACTGAATTCACAACAACGTGTGAAAATGACTGATAATATTGTTATTGTTAATTCATAGTGTATTCAGTTTAGTTTGTCTTTAAGTGAATCTTTTTGGTGAACGCATGAAGATTCGATTCACTTGGATGATTCGAAATCCCCCCACTACTGCCCGTGAACACCCTCCTTATGCGGCTTACAACCTGCATGCATCAGTGGGCTGTATGAGGAGGCTCTATTTTAATAACTATTACACATTTATTATAATAATTATTATTGTTATTACTATTACATTTTTATTGTTCGTGTTAATGTGGTTACTAACTAGGAGCAGTATAGATATTAATAGTATAATGAAGCATTTGTTATGGTTTTAGTAGCCAGTCAGTCAGTTGTGCGTCTTTGTTATATAAACGCCCAGATTTCAGAGATGAGACGTCGGACGTCTGTCATGGTATTATTTTCTTACTGGCTGTCTTCGGCATTATGGACGTCGCCTGACAGCGCTTTACAGACATAAGGGCAGGACTAGAGACTGCAGGGAGGCGTCTGAGAGGAGAGTGTAGAGGCAGGATAACTGGCAGCGCCGGGCGGAACAACAGTCGCTGCAAATCTGACAGACAAGAAGTGCCGAGAAGCCTTCGGTAAATATGCAATTGAATGGGCGTTAATTAGCGCATTGACATCGTCCTTTATAGTCTTTGCATGCTTAATCTTATCATTTAAATGTTGCATTTAGGTGGTTGGGATTAGTTTTTCTTTGTGCTATATTATTGTACGCATTCCCCTGCTGCTGTCACTCTCTCTTTCTCAATCTGTGTTGACAGCCGTCGTGAGATGTTGCATTAAACCTTCGGTTTGTTTTTGTCTTTCATCTCTACTAGCCTGTCAAGTTGCATTCCATGTGAAGGATCTTAATGCAACAGTAATGCAACAATTCCCTGTTGTTTTTATGTCAGGCAGTTAGGCTCTATGGTCAAATTTGTCCATGCTGTAGGTTTGTGTTGACTGTCTGCATGCTTTTATTGCAAGGATGGCTTGGAATACTCTCATGATTTTAAAAAGTGCAGTGCGGAGGTGTTGCAAAGACTGAATTTCAAATGCCATACCCGTATGTGCTGCAGTCTCTATCAAGC